GGGGGGGGGGGGGGGGGGGGAAATAAATGCCCTCTTATATGCTTGCATGCAAAGTCTTAGCCAAGTCATTGGGGCTAGAGAGTAGTCTGGAGGTATAAAATGCACTTCTGCTGAAAAAAAACTAAAGCAGGTCTAGACTTGGAATCAATCTTGATTGAAAAATGCCCAGGAGCTTACTAATGTAACAGTAAAGTATAATACAGGTAGTTCTCAGATTACGATGGCAATTGGGACCAGGATTGCCATCGCTAAGTGATGTGGTTGTAAAGCATGATGTCATGTGACTGCATTGCTTAATGACAGCAATCCCAGTCCCAACTGCTGTCGTAACCCCAAGGCGCACAGATCATTAAGCAGGAAGCAGTGGGAATCCCAAGTAAGGTGCATAAGGGTGCCACAGAGGGTGGGGGAGGCTCTGGGAGGCCCAGCACAAGCCATGCAAATTGGGGGAGGGGGTGCTGTAGTGTGGCAGCTAAGGGAAGGAGGGTGTGTGTGTGTGAGCACAGGGAAGCCAAGGGAAGGACCTCACAGCATGGTGCATGCAAAGGGAGGCCAAAGGAAGGAGGTGACACAGTGCACAGGAAGGCCAGGGGAGACATACCAGAGCAACTTGCAACCTTCCCTGCTGGCTTCCCCACTGACTTTGCTTCTGGGACCCCGGCAGGGAAGGTTGCAAATGACAATCACATGACAGCAGGACACTGCAATAGTCGTAAGTGCAAGCTGGTTGCCAAGTGCCGGAATTGCAATCATATAACCATAAGCACTGCAATGGCCAAAATGTAGAGGACCGGTCATAAGTATCACTCATGACTCATTCAGCGCTGTCGCAACTTCAAATAGTCACTAAATGAGCGGATGGTGAGCGAGGACTATGTAATGGTGTGTGGGAAAGACCTTGGGAGACTGGGCAAAGAGACGCTGCCAAGGAAATTGTTAGAGACAGCATGGGCCACAACTGGATAGTGGGCATGGCAAGAGGTTCAGAAGAGACCCTCTCTAGTTTCTTGGGCTGTAAAGGAGACGGGGGGAGGATTGTACTTTCAGACTTGCAAGATTCTGTCAATGTGGCTTTACAGTAAAGTAGAATTAGCTCATCTGGTTGTGATTCCTATCTGGTTTACCCTGGGAGGCTGACATCAACCTTTCAAGTCCAAAAGTACAATCCTCCCCCGTCTCCTTCACAGCCTGAGAAACTAGGGACAGTCTCTTCCGAGCTTCTTGCCCTGCCCACTATCCAGTTGCAGGCTATGCTGTCTCTTACCTAATCATTCCCTTGGCAGCATCTCTTTGCCCAGTATCCCAAGGACTTTCCCACATCCCATTACAGACTACCTGTAAATTGAAACTATACCTATCCTCACAAATTTATCCTATGTGACAGGTGGGGTCTAATCCCAAAAGCACCAAGAAATATCTAAAAGTTTCACACCAAATTTCTGCAACTCCATTCACCAGATATTCTTCAGCCATAATTAATTATGCATTATCAGAGAGTGTTTCAGACCCATCTCCCAGAATAAATCTCTTAATAGAAAATTACTTGTTTTCCTTATGAACTATATAAATTTTATTCAGATACAATAGTACCCCACAGATTTACAAAAATCTTGAACTAATTTAGATTATTTTAACTGGATGAACTGGTATGTGTTAAAAAGGTATATGTTCTCCTTGATTTATCTCTAGTATTTGTAATCTACCACAACATCCAGAATTATGGATTTTTCATACATGGGAGCTGGCAAAATTATTATACAACATTGGCATGAGAAATCTACACCTACTTTACAACAAGAGATTTTTGATGAGCACTGTCAACAA